AGTGTTATTGGGAATGAATGGTTTGTGTGTGTTTGTTTGGGGCGCCGTGGGGGGGGAATAGATTACACGGGGGGGCGGCGGGGCGCGGGGATAGTTGGCGGTTGAAGGGGGGGTGTCAAAGTGCTGGTGCGACTAAGCCGGGCACGCAGCTACGCGGCTGGTAAAAAAAAACAGCGGCGGAGTTTTGAAACCGGCATGAGCGAAGCTCCTTGGGCGACGGGTTGCGTCAGTCACGGCGGGGGACTTGTTGGGAATTGTGGCGGGCATTGATTGCTGAAGAGAGAAAAGGGACAGAATGAGAGAGGAGTCTGCCGACTGATCCGTCCGTTTAGCCTTGTTCCCTTGTTCGTTCGATAGGAGGGAACAGCATGCAGTTGGAACTCGCATATCTCACGCCTTCTTCATGGATGGTAGCATGACGTTGTGTGATCGTGACGATACCCTTGTAAGTGCCTCGAGATCCCATTGAGAAAACAGACTGCACACCCTGGGTAATGCAAAAGTTGGGTTGTGCAGGTAGGGTTCATGGATTGACTGGGAGCTGCTTGTTGTGGAGATAGGGGAACGCATTGAGTGGGAGTTGTTGTACAGGCGGCGGCGTAGAACACAGAGATGGGGTGACAAGATGCTCATAGCAGCCAGTCGTCATGTGGTACTACCACAGCTTGCGTGGGCGAGGGGGTTGATGGACACGGTTGGGGGGTTCAGAGAGAAAAAATATGCCGGGAGCAACACAGTTTGCCTAGGAAACGCTGCTGCTGCTGCCGTCGCCGCCAACATACGTAGCTTGGGCGTAGAGAGAGTTTGTACATAGTATGAAGGCGGTGTGGACGCGTAGATTAGACTAGAGCTTAGAGGAGGAGGACGACGGCACTTACGGATTCCATTAGAAACGGGGCCGCGTGACACGAGTTTTTCCATCAGGAGATGGATTTTTTCCAACAGGAAATTTGATTATTTCCGACGGGACGGGTTTCCCTCATGGCATCGAGTGTACACAAACAACGGGACACCACGGTACATATTTAGCACTCTCTGCTTGGCAGTGAAGTGCGGAGCGCGCGTGGTTGTGGACGGGTAGGACGACTTTGTGATCTCAAGCGATTCCTTCATGACGCAGCATTATTCTGCTTGGGAGTGAGTGCGGAGTACCCTTTTGGCCTTTTGGTTGCACGGGAGAGTCGTGATCCAAGAGTTGACGTGGGCGCGCGTGGATGGGCTATTATTTGTAGTGTCAGTAGCCTTTGCAGTTTTTTTCGTTGAAGAAAGTACGTTGGATAAAGGACGCAATCGAGGAGTTGGGCTAGGGCTAGGGGCTACTGTAGGTTCTGCGTACCCCCTCCCTGTTCTATTTCCTCGTATCAAACTTCTCGCCAAGGCGGTCCGCTGTAGTTTTCACCCCCCCTTCACCGCTGCCACCACCATCATGCCTCTTGACATGGGTCGTTCGTCCATCGTACGGCAGTAGTAGTCGAGGCGGTACTCGATGTTGTTGGTACATGTGGTCATACATATGTTGCGGAATGCTTGTGTCGTGTGGTTCTTGTTGGGGCCTCGATCTGTCGGATGAAGTGCAGCAACTGAACACCTGTGTTGCATGGGATGTTTCAGTTGCCGACCGATCAAACGTTTCCTGCGAACAAATGTGTTTCCTGCTTGCGATAGCTTGGAGACCCCTCTTAAGGTTGCCCCACAGCTGGCTCAACATTGACCGGCGGTTTGTCGGAGCTCTCCATCTCTCCTAGAAGAGGAAAAAAAGCGTCGCGTGACCACAGGGAGGGACAGCGCCTTTCAGGTCCCGATCTGCTGGCGGCCCATTCTCACCCGACTCGGCACTCGAACCGAAGTTCTACAGTAGATGAGACCATGACGAATTACTGTCGGTTTCCGGAAGGACACCGACGGTGGCATTTAGGGCCCTATTCTGCACCCGGCAGGTGTGAGGCAGCAAGTTTACATACATATGTACGAGAACATTGATTTACGTAAGAACCTTCTGGTTGTGGGGGTGCTCTTCTTGTAGTGCTAAGAACTGCTCTAGACTAGGTGTGAAGCCAACACCACCAGAGGTTCGTGATTACAAACACCAATGATACATTTCTTCATGAAGCGCGCTTCATGGTCCGGTTCACCGTGCTTCACGAGTACCACCTACTGCTGTAGACAGTAGCCTTACACCGTAGCTTGCTTGCATAAGATATCACGCCCCTTTCGACCGAAGTGCAAAGCTCGGTTACTCCCAGCACAAGCACGAGATAGACTACCAGAGTAGAGAGCCTGCGCCGAAAATGGCGTCGTTGGAACCTTCTCGTGGAGAGCTTTCCAAAACAAGTAATTTAATTTTGGCCATGATCTTCGCGGTGGAGTAATCGAGATTTAAAAATGGTCCAGGGGGTAGGGATCGGTGGACGACTGTTGTAGTCTCTGTCCAACCTAAGGAGATGGTCGACGAGCACGTGTGTTCCAGTCATGTATGTACGTGCATCGTACACTGCGCAAGATCTCTACAGACACCTCTGGAGCCAAGCGCACTCCTTCTCGCAAATAGTTAGGCATAGGGGAAAGGACAGCCTCCCTGTACGCCCATTGTCCTTAAATCTCTTCGCTGTGGTGTATCCTATACGTCCTACGGGGGAGAACGAGCGAGAGGCGGAAAGGATATCTCCGATCTCCGAACTGCTGTGTGACGTCATTTGCGTCGTAGATTGGGGGTTCCGGTATTTCAAATACCTCCCCCAGCTCCGACGCAGCAGTGGTTGCCCCGCGCTATTCCCTGCTTGTGTTGCTTGGTTGCTTGTGGTGGCCTTGTTGTGCCTTGTTTTAATCTACCTGTGGCGAGCTGGTCAGGCGAAAGGTGTGTGTGGATGCGCTCATTGCTAGCTGCCATTGTCGTGTAGAACAAGCACTTGGTGTAGCTCTGTGTAAATGAGGGTTTGTTTGCTTCAAGTAAAAAGTTGGCTGGCTGGCTGGCTGTGTGGCGATGATCTCACCACGAGCAACAAACGCAGACCGGCAGAGCACGCCACTGGAGTGTAGCACGACGTGATTGAACTGCTGAGCATCCATTGACATACTCGTGTTCCAGGGATGGCGTGCCATGCTGCTTGTGGTTCTCTTGCCCAAGACGCACGCAGGCTCCGAGAGCCACATACCAAACCAACCACGACGACAGTCTCGCGAAGCGACAGTCTCGCAAACTTTCCCCACGTGTTCACGAAGAGGTATTGCAGTCGCTTGTAGATTGCACTGGCTTGTTTGGCTGCGTGCATGGGAAACCCGAGGTACTTCTGCTACAACTGCTCCTGGCTGGTGTGGGTACAACTCCAAGAAAAGACCGTTTGAGCGACTGGTTTGACCGCGTGTTTTCATGTATAAGGCAGAGATTCGCGCACCCACTACGCCGACACCATGAAGCAATATTAATATTTCACGCTCAACATGCACTCCAGTACAAAGAGCGCCACTTCGGTCCCCCATTTTACGTACGTGGCCGGTAGTCAGTCAGAGTGCTGCGAAGCTCGAAGGCGCCCCCCTCTGAAGCAGCCGGCTGTAACCGCTGTAACACCCTGCAGACCACCACCATGTAGAACATTTTTCATGCATACCCCTCGTGCCCCCCCCCCCCCCCCCCCCCCC